AATTAATGACTTAATTATCTCAAAATTATGAGTAACTCATTAATTCATAAAAACAGAGTGAAATAAATGTTTTTCAAGAAAAATGTATCTCATAATTCTGACATAATTAACTCATTAATTCAGAAAAACAGAGCAAAAACTTTTTTTCATGAAAAATATCTTGTAATTCTGAGATAATTAACTCGTTAATTCAGAAAAACAGAGAACAAAACTTTTTTTCCATGAAAAATTATCTCGTAATTCTGATATAATTAACTCGTTAATTCAGAAAAACAGAGTAGATTTTTTTTTCTTCAAGTGAATGCAATACGCTTCCGTAGGTTTATTCCTTTTTGGCTAGAAGTTCTGAATGGCCGGTAATTTTAGTAGCCAAATTGGTTCATTTCAAACCCTGGTTATTAAAATGTCTAAAGCAGAACGAAATTTTTTTTAAGTTAAGCTTTCATCTTTACTTTTCCCCCCACTCCAGAACTGTTAGTTGTGATTAATGTGGAGCTTCTGCAGTGAAGAGAAGCGCGCCCTCCTCTGGCCAGAGTCAACACTGCTGGCTTCATAGGGCAGATGTCTCTCTCTATATCTGTGCGCTCTAACATCGAGATTTTAGAATAAGTGTAGAAATCATAGAGTTTATTGCTGGTTGCTTTTATCAGATTCCACAATAAAATCGAATACAGAACATTATGAAAATAATGCGTATAAAATGAGATTATCACGAACAACACCTCAACCGTAATGACATTTTTTTTGTCCCAAAAACATTTCCTGAATATAACAACATAGATGTATCATAATCCATAAAGCCCGTGCAGTTGTTCTTTCCTCGTCTCGTGCGCGTTCACAAGCCCTCGCGCTGAGATAGAAATTCTCCTTCTCATTACCAGTCTTAATAGACTCCTTCGACCTCATCCCACACTGAGATACCATCTGATCCATAGAATTAATTAATTATAGCCCAAATATTACAGATTATTAAAAATAGCATAAGTAATAGTGTAATATCTCAAGCTGTCGAGTTTAATAGTCAACATTGTCTTGGCAGCTCTTATCAGTGGGAGACACCCGGTCAGAATATTGATTTCTAGTCGTTTTAACCATCATCTGCTGTTGTGATGGAGAATTGTCAGGCTTTTACTGCTCTGTGCTCATTTAAAATCATTAGATTGCTTCTGACGCGTTGACTAAAGCTTTCTCCCAGAGCACTGGAATATTTATATACTGTGAAAACTGACAAATAATGTGCATGTGTTGTGCGAGAGCTGGAATAGTCGAAAATAGCATCATTTAGTGCCCTAAAAACCTGCCTCGAAACAGCCTTTTTCATCTGCTACAATATTTGCATTATATAAATGATCCGTTTCTGAAAAGATTTTGTGGTTTCATTCTTTTAGCTGGTGCATTTCAAACAGTGGAAGCCGGAGAGTGTTTAATGATCATCTCGGCCAGACTGAGTGAGATTGGTCAAATGATCTGGAATATGTAACTGATTTGTTCTGACATGTCAAAAGTGTCTTGTTATTTAATTGTCAATAATGAATATGTTATTATGGTGATTTCCTCACGTGGTGTGATGTAGGCTGAAGCAGTGAGGAGCTTGGTTCTATGTGAATGGGACAATTTGCATGCAAATTATTGTGCATAATTTGATTAAATTGCCAAAATCATGCAATGGGCTGCTGGGAGGGATTGTTTTAATTACAACAGCAATTTGCCACATGAATTGAGTGTTCATGGATAGACATCTAGGGTTCAAGTGGACAAGGAAACGCGTCTTTTATAAAGTTGAACTTATTGTAACTTCAGCGTCGCGTTTTGAGAACGCATGCGCGAATATACGCGCCTGTTAAAGACGTCCGTCTAGCGTGTGTTTATAGGAAAATAATGTAAAGCTGTAGTGTAATGGACAACTGCAAACACAAGGTTTCGTGCTGTAAAATCTGCATTATTTAATCAGGTTGTTGAAAATGCATTGGGATGATAGTCTGTAGATGTGTGTGTAATTTAGCCTGCAGTTGAGAAACACTTTTGTTTATGTTTTTTTGGCCCCTGGAAAGATGAGATTAAAAGTTGAATGCCCTGCATCTCTTCATGATGACGGGATAATCATCTTCATCCTCACAGCTGATCGTTTTACCTATTATTTTGAGCAACTCTTAATTAGTAGCTTCTACAGGATCATTGCCTTGAGTGATTGCGAGGAACTGACCTTCCATGTCGCGCATCTGAAGCCAACAGAAGAGGTTCAGTCCGGTCGCACTTCTGTGGGGTTTCCATGTGAACTACACCGTTAGCATTTTACACTCGAGGTTGTTATAAGTTCAAAAACTTACTGTGCGTTCTTGCTTTTTGTAAACTAATATAGAAGATAATCAAAGTTTAAATGTACTCTTAGGGTGATGATTCTAGACTGTGATTGAAACATAATGCATGTTTATATATATAGGCTATACACTCTAAAAAATACTGGGTTGTTTTAACCCAATTTTCGGTCAAATATGGACAAACCCGAACGTTGGGTTAAAATTTTAATTTAAAAAAAATAACCCAACGGCTGGGTTTGTCCACATTTGACCCAAAGTTTTTTACCCAGCATTTTTTAGAGTGTAATATATAGCCTACATATATATATATATATATATATATATATATATATATATATATACAGGCCCGGATTGGCCATCTGGCAATTCTGGCACATGCCAGAAGGGCCGGTGTGATTTTCTATTGTTTTGGGCCGAGCTGACCACGTTGCTGCACCTTTATCGCAAAAAAGTTTTTACGCTCGCATGAGGAGGTTTTTCAGGCAATTCGAAAAAGGAATATTTCGCAAAACTGCAATGGAAACAGTTTTTGCGCATTTACAGTCACCTGAAGACGCGGTGTGTTTGGGGTCCGTGATATACGCAAATAATAGGCTAATAAATATCATCATTATTATAACAGTTATTAGGCTACATATTTAGAAGACGCTTTTATCCAAAAAAAGGAACAAAGCAATTCGTCAAATGTCATTCATAATGGTTAGACAATAATAATACAGGGCTAAGATTATCACAAATAAACACAAGATTTTGACGCATATCCAAGTGTTTGCTGAGCGCGCATGGCACGGAGGCGCGGCCGCGAACACTTGCTTTTTCCTATCAACAGTAGAAACAACTTAAAATAGGCCTACTCTATAATTTCTGGTCATACAGAAAATAATAATACATTATTCGCCACTATGATTTTATTTGTGTAAACTCACAATAACAAGAAAACGTTGTGCTTTTGTAAAATAAAATAAAACAATCATGCGCGCTTTCATGATCTCCGTGAACTGGAGCGCGAGAACTGAAACAAAGTATAGCCTATGTAGGCTAAAGCTTGAAGTGTCCACTTTAAAACGAACAAATTCGAATCGAAAGCTAATACATTCTGATGATGTAATCCTTATGAAAGGTGTATTTCTCTCTAAAGGTGCATTCGCGCGGCGCGCCTCAGCGGAGATGGAGATATGTTTTTAGCCGACACTGATTTAGAAAACAATAGTTTATTAATAAACAATTAAAATGCCTCGTTATTTTTCAGACAGATTTATTATCATTAGCCTATAACTCACCTAAATCACCTTGTGGTTCCAGAGACATAAATATGGCTCTTCTCATTCAGCACTGCGGGAAAAATATAATTTCCAGGTTCTAATTTGCCCTTAGAAAACCATTAAAATCTACATTTTTTTCGTATTAAGTTGTGAATATTTTAAATGTTTAATAAAGGGGCAAAAAGTCAAAGAAACATCTGAAATTTAGTCGATATATTATTATTTTTGCACAGCATTTGTGTACAGTTCAAATTTAAAAAAAAATTGCTGGTTAACTTTGCATTTTAAATAAAAAAATCACCGTTCATTTTTCGTTTTGCAATACGGGTTAAAAAAGGAAAAACGATTGGACACAAATGTACACTGACCGTTTGGACAGAGTTCTTTATTAAATTCATAAAATAAACAATAATTAGGCTTCAGGAATAGTACTGGATTCTAAACCTCAAGAAATGCCACAATCAAGACCTCGGGGCAGAAATGAGAGAGAAACACCTAGAAACTCCTTAGCAGTATGCGTCTTTCCCTGCCATTAATGCTTGGATAACACACCACGTCTCATTCCATTAATAATAATAATAATGTCTAGTGTGGTGGTGGCTGATAGACCCGTTGCCATGATGTTTAAATGACTTATCGCGCGAGAAAAAAAAGGACGTTGTATCGCATAACATCAGTTAATGGAAACGCCGTCATTTCGCAATAGTTTTTTATCGACATTTAGAAAAAATCGCAAAAGTTTTGCGCAAATCTGTAATGGAAACGCGCCTAAATTGCTGCCTTGTATGGTGTGTCTCAGTGGGAAAAATGTTAAGATTCTGGGGACGTTTTTTAACGTCATCAATTAGTTGGGCCGGTGAAAACCACAAATGCCAGGGCCGAATTTTGGTCCCAGTCCGGCCCTGTATATATATATATATATATATATATATATATAGCTATTATAAATATAGGATATTAATATATAGCCTATATATAGCCTATATTTATATTAGTTTCTATAGATGATTTTGTGGTCAAGTGCATTATAAAGACTCGCTGCTTTCAAGTGTCCCGTTCTCTCGTTAATTTCTCTGGAAACAATGATTATCCGAACCTTAAGCCGTGCAGTGCGGGAGATGGGAGGGAGAAAGTAAGGAAAAATAAGCCTATTTAGTGTGTTTCCAGTCCAGTGCTCTCGCTGACAGCTGTGTATATCAGGGGCCACATCATCGCTCACTCTCCTCACACTCCTCACACACTCCAGACGGAGATAATAGGCTATTAGAGGCATGGGATTAATTTGTAGCCAATTACCACTCACAGTGGAATATGAATGCATAAATAAGCTACGGCTTGTGTCGAAGTTTTGGCGATGATCAGAGCAGTGTAAAGGGGAGGGGAGCCAGCTGCGCGCGCGTGTGTGTGTGTGTGTGTGTGTGTGTGTGTGTGTGACATAAACGCGGGGTGTCCTGAGGGGACGGTTCAAACCCAAAAAGGACCTGAGCAGGGGGACATCAGCATCTCCAGCTGGATCAGCATCTTACAGACGTGTTTCAGCAGCATGTCTCGTGTAGAGTGAACAGCAGAAGAGCGAGAGCCGGAGAGATATGAACCGGGAGAAGGAGAAGACTGGCGACCCCACCGGAGTCATCGTGGTCCCGCAGGACGGCATGGACGACGCGCTGCCGGTGTTTCACTGCGCCGCGGGGAGAGACGCGTTACCGGCGGACAGCAGAGACACCTCACCGAGACACGAGCACGAGCACGAGCCCGCGGGCGCGCCGCCGACCATACACCGGACCACGTCCTTCTCGGTTCTGGACATTTTGGACCCCAATAAATTTACTAGTAAGAGGCAAGCGCCTAACAGGACAGGTTGTGAGTTCATGTTTGGTGCGGAGAACAGAAGCGACGACTCAAATCACACGATCGAGCACAAGTCTTATCAGGAGGACTACGACTGTAAAAAAACTGCAGGGATTTTGAGTAAGTGACCATGGCTATTCCCCTTATCATTGTGTGTGTGTTCAATATTGTGTTTAACATGACCGCGTTAAAGTAGCTACATAGTTAATAACATGGAGATTATTTTTCCCCAAAGAATATTTAGGTTAAAATTATTGGAATCTTTTATTTAAAAAAAATTGTAATGCAAAATGTGTAAGTGAAATGGGTGTTTTAGTTGGCCGTCACAAACGATTTTCGCCGCTATAACACACTTTTATAATCACTTTTCCCTTGAATTATCCTGTGGTGTGTCAAATGAATTTATAAACGTGCAAATATTTCATGCAGTCTCAAAAATAAAATAAAAACATTGTTGATTATTAGATTGAGTATAGAATGCCACAGTTTTAAATGTCCATTATTCAGACCTGTTTTGTGTTTATTATAAGAACATCTACGTTTGATAACAAAATTATTTCTTTATTGTTAACAAATGCAACTTGGCCTTCAGCCGTCTTCTTCTTCTTCTTCTTCTTCTTCTTCAGCTGGAGGTCCACACAGGAGGACTTTAACTCAAGGTTATTTACAGAACTAATTACACTAGTTTTGGAGTAATTACAATCCCTATAAATGGCCATTTTAAGTCTTTCAAGTGTTTGATTGAGTGGCTGTTGTGAAGTGAGTGAAAGGTTTGGTGGAAACTTTCACTTGTGTGTGTGTGTGTGTGTGTGTGTCAGGTAAACTTGACGGTAAACTATATTAAAACAACCCCTCAGATGAGTCTTGTGTTCAGGACTGCACTTTATAGTTTTTTTGGGGGGACCAATGTTCAATATCACCCTTAATAAGTATAATAGGCTTTAATCTTGTAATTATCCGAATTTTAACTCTATAATTTAGATGTTGAGAGAGAGTTTGCAAGCTGCCTGAAAGAGATATACTCATTTCTATAATAGGATATCGACCAGATCCTCCCCGTCTTTACGCAGACCTGCCTTAAATTAAGCGCAATCGAATGGCTTTAATTGTTTTTTCTTTAGATATGTTAGCGCTTTGTCTCGAGTCTAAATGGCGAGAGCAGAACCCGCAGTGTTCATGAGGATCATCTTATCTTCTGTGCCTGTGTTTGCAAGGACAAATATGTGTCAACCTCTATGATTGATTGGAGGCCGCGCGCGAAAGCAATTCTCAATGAACAGTAATTGTGGGCTGCAATAATTTGATAAGGTTTGTGCTGTTTTTAACAGCCGCTTTAAATGGTCGAGTAAATTGAGAGTTATCGATTAGTTGTGATTTAAGATGTCAAGACGAATTGACACGCCAAAGGAAGTGGCATCTATTCACTCACTTCATAAACAAGACGAAAAACGCTCATACAGAAATATCAGCTTAATTTCAATTTTTTTTAAATCATTCTGCGTGTTTTTTAAACTAGTAATGCTGTAACATAATTATTTAAATCAAAAGGTCCACGCATCTGTGCAACAGTTTATTTCAAACAATTAGGAAGAAAATATGTTGCGTTAACTCGACATTTTAAATAGCCCAGCACATTAAAGGACAAAATGAAAGATTCTATTTTAGAATGTTTTATTTACACTTAAATAAAGCTTCTTTATTGGCATCGATGGTTCCACAGAGAACATTTAACATCAGTGGACTCTTTCAATAGTGGAAAAAGGGTTATTTAGATAATTAAAATGTTTTTCGCACTAAGAAAAAATGGTTCTTTTAAGAACTGATCACTTAAAGATTCTTTTGCGAAACAAAAATCGCTTCACTGAGGAAAAAAAAAGAAAAAACTTTTTAGGGACATTACGTTTTAGAGTGTAAGGAAAAAAAGGCTACATTAATAACAACATTATAGCTATTTACTAAAATGCCTATTTTTCCTTCCCCGTAATAATTGATCGAAATTCGGTGAACCTGTTGGTGGAGACGCATCAGTGTCAGTGAGTGTGTGTAGCTTGTGTGATTCGCCTGTCCATGCAGGAGTTCTGACGGGTGTTTTGGTGTGTTCCCCAGAGGACGGGTTCGTGTTCCGGTCAGAAGAGCGCGAGTCTGACGGAGAGCTGTGCAGCGAGGAGAGCGCGCTCACCGGGAACAACGACACCGAGTTCGGCCAGCACGAGGACGACGACTCGGTCAGCAAGAGCCCGGACGGACAGCAGTCGCAACAGTCCTCAACGAACGGACAGAATCACTCGGCGAAGCCCAAACGGAAGCGCTCCGGTTCGGACTCGAAGTCAGGCAAACCCAGGAGAGCCCGGACCGCGTTCACGTACGAGCAGCTGGTGGCTCTGGAGAACAAGTTCAAGTCGACGCGATACCTGTCCGTGTGCGAGCGCCTGAACCTGGCGCTGTCCCTGAGCCTGACGGAGACGCAGGTCAAAATATGGTTTCAGAACCGCCGGACCAAGTGGAAGAAGCAGAACCCGGGCGCAGACACCAGTGCGCCGACCGGCGGGAGCGGAGCAGGGCCGAACGGGTCCCTGAGTCCCCTGAGCCCGTCCCCTCCCATGAGCGCACACCTGTCCATGCACACCGGCTACCCGGGCCACGCGCCCGGAGGACTCGTGTGCACGGCGCAGTTGCCGTTCCTGCCGGGTCACGCGGTTCTGTCGCCCTTCATGCTGGGCTCGCAGACTTACGGCGCGCCCACGTTTTACGCGCCGCACTTATAAGAGCAGAATCACGGGAGGAGGACAAAGAACATCTCTAACTTGAAGCACTATATTCTCTCACACACGTGCAAAGACACATGATAGGTTTGTGATGGGAAGCGAACTGTTTTTCAACCTTTGCTGCACTGTGGCAACCCCAGAACTCAGTTTACGTGCTAATAATTAGATTTCGAATTGCTTCATTTTGATAAAATGTGAATATTTCTCTAGATCAGACTGTAAATATTCAGTTATTATAAAATGTGTTTAGACTTTAACTTTGAATGCAAATGTAGTAGGGAATAAAACGGTATGTATCGAAACAAAGAATGAGATTGTTGGACTTAAATCGTGTACAAACAAACATAGGCCTAATGAAAAGTTTATCTTGAGTTTTTTTTTTACTGTGGGCCATATTATTTAATTCTTGCATAGACTATGCTATTATTTAATTGTTTGTCTCAATTCAAATGTTGCAATAAAATGACGAAGTTGTCAACTATTCCGTTGGCCTAAGGCCAATATAAGAACTAACGTCATTGAAAGGTTTGCATGATCCTGCACTCTTTAACGCTTCATCTTAACGCGGACTTTGATCAACTGAGAAACCGCTTCAACGAACGAATAATCGCGTTCTATTGCTTATCATGTTATGGCATTTTTAGGCTGTAGAAAGTTTGAAACCCTTGCGTGAATTACTATGGAAATATTGTGGTCGAGTGAATTTATTTGAACTTAACCTAAAAAAAATGCAATGCAATCTTTAGCAGTTTTTGTGCAAATACAAGAATAAAATTCAGTTCCAGAAGGTTTAAAAAAATTCGAATTCGTTTAGAATATAGAATGTAGAAAATGTTACATTTTGCATTCGAAATATTTACGTTCTTTTTTTAAAACACATCCGCTGATATTCTATTTGAGCACTAATGAGACATGATGTCCTCTTTAAATCGACTTATTGATTTGAGAGTTGCTTAAATATCAATAACAGTGTCAGCTGATGGCTTTAGAAGGGCAGGTGAAAAGTGCTAAAATATAGTTCGATCGCAATAAACAGTTTATTGTTCGTTAAAAAAAAATTTGGTCTGTAAATATTAGGCTATTGCTGTTATTAATATACTTCCGTGTATTAATTCAATTCGTTCGATTGTAAATGTTTAACACGGGTCTCTAGTAAATCGTTTCTGAAAGCCGCGCACTTTTTGAGATATTAAAGAGTCAAACACTTCGAGATGAAATGATCAAATATGCCGCTAAATGTCGCATGATCTCCAGCGGCACGCGATTATTTTCAGTGTATTATTCGTAGTTATTTTGCTTCCTTAATATTTGAATGACATGAAATATTACATTACACCCATATACCAAACCGTGCATTTAATCAATTATATTCCACAGGATAATATTGTTTTGCGTCAAAATGGTAAATTCGTTTCTTGCATTTTTTCCCCCAATAGAGTTTCGTGGCCAGAAATATACACAATTTAAATGTGTATTTATACACATTTTCACAAGTTTACTACATATTTACTACTACGTATAATTATAATTATTATGCTACAATTAATTTTTTTTATGAACTATTATAAATATTATAATCACAATGGTCAGTGTGTTTTGTTTTGTGACGTGCATTTCACAAGTTTACTATTATTATTATTATAACAATTGGAATTTTTATTATTAACTATTACAAATATTATTATAATCACAAAGTGCATGTGAGATAACTATAATTTGTGTTTTGTTATATTGCTGATATATAATGAAAAGACGGACTCGTTCATGATATTTTTTTTTAAATGTACGGATTATTTTTGTCCGATTC